CCCGCAGATGAATACAGCCGGGTACATAACGACGCATATATTTGAAATTAAGATTTATTGCAAACTTTTGATAGTCGCTGTTTTTCTTTCATATATTTTTCTTTCTTGATTTTCTTTTTTTCTTCTTCTTCTTCTTCTTCTTCTTCTTCTTCTTCTTCTTCTTCTTCTTCTTCTTCTTCTTCTTCTTCTTCTTCTTCTTCTTCTTCTTCTTCTTCTTCTTCTTCTTCTTCTAAGTGACCTCTGATCGCCAGCACGTAACCTTTGCGTAAAATGAGGGGAATTTTGGCGATCATTTCTCTATGGAAATGCGGTCTGGCGAACCCTGTGGTATTTAGATATTTTCTTTTTTTTTTTTTTTTTTTTTTTCAAAGTGTTATCCATGGTCACGATAACATATTTTTAACCATTTTTTTCTGTATGTTATTTTTATGGTTATTATAGTTTTTATAATATTTTATTTATTATTATTATTATTTTTAGCGTATTTCAAAGTGTTATCCATGGTCACGATAACATATTTTTAACCATTTTTTTCTGTATGTTATTTTTATGGTTATTATAGTTTTTATTAATATTTTGTTTATTTTTACTGTATGTTATCATGGTTATTTTAGTTTTTTATTGTATTTTATTATCAGCTTATAAGAAGAAGAGTTTTAAAAGCGGCAAATCACGTGACTCTTAGAGAAGTCTTAGTAACAGCTTAAATTATTCAACATCGCCGTATCAGTTTCTCTTTCTGCACGGACTCTTTCTGATGATTCGACACCTCGGGCTGGTGCGGGCGTGAGGGCGGGGTTGTCAAGTGACTTCGGCGCCCATTGTGGCATTTCGTGGGCGTTGTCCCGGATTTGGCATTTTTCATTACCTCTGGGGGGGGGGTGCGTGTGTGTGTGGTGTGTGTGTGTGTGTGTGTGTGTGTGTGTGTGTGTGCGTGTGTCCGTGTCTGTGATTGTGTCCGTGTCTGTGATTGTGTTTGTTTGTTTGTGTGCGCGCGTATGTGTTTGTTTGTTTGTTTGTGTTTGTGTTTGTGTATGCGTGTTTTTGATAGAGCGATTGTCTCACTGAAGAGATTGTTATGATCAGCTATGACAAAGGGGAAAGTATGTGGTCGAAAGAGAGAGGGGGGGGGGGGTTATTATGCTCTTAAGACCGTTATATTTGGTAAACGGTTGATAGATAGTAGAGAGCGATAGATATGGAGAGAGAGAGAGAGAGAGAGAGAGAGAGAGAGGAGAGAAGGAGAGAGAGAGAGAGAGAGAGAGAGCATAAAAGTAGAAGAAGAGAGCATAAAAGTAGAGAGAGAGAGACATAAAGTAGAGAGAGAGAGAGAGAGCAAAAAGTAGAGAGAAGAGAGAGCAATAAAAGAGAGAGAGAGAAAAAAGTAGAGAGAGCATAAAAGTAGAGAGAGAGAGAGCAGAGAGAGAAGAGAGAGCATAAAAGTAGAGAGAGTAAAAAGAGAGAGAGCGAAGCATAAAAGTAGAGAAGAGAGCAGTAGAGAGAGAGAGAGAGAGAGAGGAGAAAGAGAGAGAGAAGAGAGAGAGAGAGAGAGACATAGAGAGAGAGAAGAGAGAAGAGAGAGAGAGAGAGAGAGCTAAAAGTAAGAGAGAGAGAGAACTCCACCTCCTTGTAAAGAGAGGCGTCATTTTGAGTATATACGTTCGGCGGTTCCTCGTCGTACCGGAAAGCACACGAAGTTCGTTATCTCGTATCTGATAAGGATAGGATTATGTAAGCCATTTTATATTCTCTTTATCCATCTCTCTCTCTCTCTCTCTCTCTCGCTCGCTCGCACAGGCATGTGTATGTGCGGCACACGAACTTAGATGTGTCGAGAAGTATACATATATATATGTATTTCCAAATAAGTGTGCGTGTGTGTGTGTGTGCATTTGCGCGCCTTTGCCCAAATACGGTAAAATTTTATGAGAGGGTAGAGCAAGCCTTGCACAATTGTGAATAACTTGTGACTTAATTTCCAAGGGCTGCTGATAGAATTGCATTCAGGAAGGTCTAGAATATAACAAAGTCAGCATTGCTTGTATTTATATATTATGTAATTATTATTATTATTTTTTTTTTTTCTATTATGCATATACTGTATGGTTACATATACCTACAAATACACACATACACGCACACGCACACACACACGCACACACACACACACACACACACACACACACACACACACACACACACACACACGCACACGCACACGCACACGCACACGCACACGCACACGCACACACGCACACGCACACACACGCACACAGTTTACAACACAAACTGTGTGATTGCATACTTGGCGAATTGATTTTACAACCTCAACGAATTCGACCGCATCGCAGAGCCAAAGTTTTCACAGTAAATGATAAAATGAAAACAATGATCTTATTTTACAATCACTGCCGCCCCAGCCAGCACTTTGGCGACTTGCGACAGGAGAGGGGGGGGGGGGAAGAGGGGAGAGATGGAGGAGGTGGATAGACAGGGGAGAGAGGGAGAGAGGGAGAGAGGCAGGTGGAAAAGGGATAGAGAGAGAGAGACAGGAGGAAAGTCTCGGAGGAGAGGAGAGAGAGACAGAAGGAAAGGGGATAGAGGAGAGAGAGAGAGAGAGAGTGAGGAGGAGGAGGAAAGGGATAGAGGAGAGAGAGAGAGGAGAGGAGGAGGAGGAAAGGGGATAGAGGAGAGAGAGAGAGAGAGAGAGGGAGGAGGAAAGGCGGAGAAAGGAGAGAGAGAGGGAGGAGGAAAGGCGGAGAAAGGAGAGCGAGCGAGTGAGAGGAGGAAGGAAAAGAGAAAGAGAGATGGAGAAGATGAATACAGAGAGAGATAGAGATGAATAGACAGGGGGAGAGGGGGGAGGAGAGAGAGACAGGAAGAGGGCAAAGAGAGAAAGAGAGAGAAGTAGGGAATGAATGGACAGATGAAAAAGATAGAAGTGAGAGGGAGAAACAGACAGAAGAGAGGATAATGAAGATGAGAGAAAGAGTGAAGGAGAGAGGATAGGAAGAGAGTAAGGAGAGAGGGAGATAAGAAAGAAAGAAGAAAGAGAGGGAGAGAGAAGATAGTCCATCAACACTGTAATGGCATAACAGGAGGCGCGTCGGCCGCACAAGGTCAAGGGGTAAAGACGAGGGCAAGTGGCTTTAAGAAAAAAAGTGTCGAGTTGGAATTCCTGACTGATGTAGGAGGAGGGGGGAAGGAAGGGAAGGGACGGCTAGCGGTATAGCGGTAGCGGTAGGGAGGGGAAGGGAAGGGAAGGAGGGCAGGGTAGCGGTAGGGAGGGGAAGGGAAGAGAAGGAGGGCAGGGTAGCGGTAGGGCAGGTAGAGGAGGGGAGGGAAGGGAAGGAGTAGCGGTAGGGAGGGGAAGGGAAGCAGGAGCGGTAGGGCAGGGTAGCGGTAGGTGGTAGGGAGGGGAAGGGCAGGGTAGCGGTAGGGAGGGAAGGGAAGAAGGAGGGCAGGGTAGCGGTTTTAGGGTTTGGTAATTTTTGCTTCGTAGAATGTATGTGCGTGTCTGTTTGTTTGTATGTGCGCGCATGAGTAGTTGTGTGGTTTGTAAACGTTCGTGTTTGTGCGTGCATGTGTTGATTGTATGTTAACTGATTGTAGGGCATTATTTTTGTTGTAGTTTGTATTATCATTGTTATATTATTATCTTCTTATATCTTTGGATCTTTAGGAAATGAACGCGCTGAAGTGTTTAACCCAATTCGTAAATTCTCAAATTTTCTCTTTTTTGTTCTTTTTTCCTTTTTCCTTTAGCGTCTTTTTCCCTTCCCATTGTCTCTCTCTTCTTTCATTTTTCTCTTCTCTTTCTTCCTCTTCTCTCTTCCTCTCTCCTCCTCCGTTCTTCTCTTCCTTCTTCCATCTTCCTTCTCCCACAATGCTAGCAACAAGACGCTGTGCCGTTGCAGAAGACACAGCTGTGCCCGCTGGAGATTTACTCTTTGCTTTGCCGCCTCGAGTGGTTGTCGTAAAGTGATCACTCCCCCCTCCCCTCCTCCTCCTCCCTCTCTCCCTCTCTTCCCTCTTGGCTTAGCGTGTAAAATAATGCTTGTTAGCTGTGCGGTCATGCAGACATGCGATGCGTTATGACAGATGGCTTGTAACGTCGGCATCTTGTGTGTGCGTGTGTCAGTTAGTAGGAAAATGTTTTTTTTTTTTTTTCGTATTCTTTGGGTGGGGGTGGGGATATTTTTGTATCGTTGCGTCTATATATCGATATGCACATATATATATCGTTTTTTTCCGGTCCTCAAAATCATTCATTTTCCCACTATTATTAACTCTTTACTTTTAAAAGCCCTAATTTCAAGATTTTTGTCATGCATCCCCCGTTCTACAGCAGCTATTACTCATCTTTCGAGATTCATTCATTAAGTGAAGGCACGTAAAGATAAGCAAAATGCTACTGCTATTGTTTTATAGAAAAAAAATGAAGAAAAATAATGAATTAGAGGTAGCATTGTTTCTCAAGATAGGATGGAAGTGATATAATAATGATGTATAATTTTAGAATGATAATGATCGTAATAGCAATAATCGGGGCAAATTCTACTTGTCCCAGGAAGAAATTCGTAGCAAGATAGGCCATTAGATTTCAGGATTTTTCTTTCTTCTTCTTCTTTATTATAATCCCTATAATTTAAATGGTCAGATGGGAATCAGTGGCCCTCAAATGTAGCTGCTGTCAAAGTGATATCAGATTCTCAATGGCCATGAAATACATGTACCAGTTTTGTTTTTTTTCTTCTTTTTTTCCCAATTGCCTCTTATTATAAGAACTTATTGTGAACCTCTATAATCACGTAACCACAAAACACAGTAACAATAAAGATCCAAAATCCTCTCCATCTGCAATCACAATCATCACCTTAAACTCCCAAAATTCCCATCATTCAATTACCATTAACACCATTAATTCCCAAAACAACTATAAATTCCCAAAATTCACCATCGCCACCATGAATAATAACTCTTCTTTCCTCCCTTGACAGGCATCTTGACCGACATCACGAACACCTTCCACATGACCGAGTCGCAGTCGGGGCTACTGCAAACGGCGTTCGTGCTCGTGTACATGATCATGGCTCCTGTCTTCGGCTACCTGGGCGACCGGTTCTCCAGGAAGTACCTCATGGCCGTCGGTATCTTCTTCTGGTGCCTGGCGACGCTGGTGGGGTCGTTCATGCCGGTAAGTGCCAATTTCGATGGCTTGGTTATGTTTTTTTTTTTTTGTTTTTTGTTTTTTGTGAGTAGTTTTTTTTCACTTGTTGGATTTTTTTACTTTTTCAACTGGCTGTATTTGTTTACTAATTATTTTATTTACCTGCTTTACTTGTCTACCTTTTGTCTACTTGCTGTACATGTCTCCTACCTTTAATCTTCCTTGATTTATCTATGGTTTCTAGCCCATCTGCTATCTACCATCTTTAGTCTACTTCCTGTCCTGTACTTGTCTACTTTTCACTCCATCTACTGTTTTTAGCTACATTTTAGTCCTCCTAATGTACCTGTCTACTTTCGATCCACCTGTTCCTACTGTATTTATCTACTGTTTCTATTCCATCTTCTATACTTACCTACCATTTTAATTCTACCTGCTGCACTTGGCCACTGTGCTGAGACCAGGTCACTACAACTCAATTGAGAAACCATCGGCCAGAAATTAATTATTTTCATGAAAGGCCTGAGTCCAGTTTCACATAGATGGAAGGAATTAGGCTTGTAATTACCCAGGAAGAGCCACTTGTTGCCCATGTGGTTGTTTGGTGCAGCATATGCATTGTAGGACCACTTGAAGCCTGTTAAGCCACTCACTGCCCCAAATTGATTGTTATCACCGAGCCAGCTGTGGTGTCGATACAGCCTATGTTCTTTGGGTTAAGCCATGACCACATAGGCTTTATGGGTGGCTGGCAATGGAGGAGAGTTGGGTTCTGGAGGCTCACGTGGTCAATAATGTTTTTCTTCCTTGTCTTAGTTGTCTTCATTGTAATTGTCTTCTGTTTTATGTTCTTTATTTTTTTCCTTTTTCATTTTTCTATTCTACTTTTTCTTTTGCTCTTTTTCCTCTCCCTTTTTCTTCCAGTTTTTCCTCATCCTCCTTTCCATTTCTGTTATTAACACACATTTATAGGACTTCTGATGTCAGTGTAACTTTTTTCTTTTCATCCTGTACAATTGTGTTCATATTTTATAAGTATAGAATGTGCAAACTTGTCAAAAATGAGAGAATTAAAGAGTCATTTAGGTTACGTTTTTATATTGGACAAGCAAGCATCTTTCAGTCCTTGGAAGTGTGTTTTTGTGGTAGAGTAAATAAAAAATAAAAGATTACTTTTGGATATAACTATTCACTTATTCCATCTTTCTCCCTTGACAGAACTACCTGCTGTTCCTCCTGTTCCGTTGTTTTGTGGGTGTGGGGGAGGCAAGCTACTCCACCATAGCACCAACAATCATCTCCGATCTCTTTGTGAAGGACTTGAGATCGAAGATGTTGGCAGTTTTCTACTTCGCTATCCCTGTTGGAAGGTGAGGAGGAGGACAAGGAGAGGAGGGGTGTTGAGCAGTTGTATCAAAGGGGGTTAAAAAAGTATTGGGTGTTACTGCATACACTCCTTTCTCTTTCTGTCAGCAAAGTTCTTCCCATATTTGTCAAATATAGGAAGAAATATGCTGACTTTAGCAAATTTGAAAATCAAACAGTCCCATGTGGTACTTAATTGCCATTTGATGTGGTAATCCTTATTTGCTTTCTTAAACCTGATAACTAAAACCTTTTTTTCTTTACAGTGGTTTGGGCTACATCATTGGTGCTGAAGTGACCAACCTCCTGTCAGACAGCCACGGGTCGGAAGCGTGGCGTTGGGGTCTAAGGGTGACTCCAGTCATGGGCTTCCTGGCCCTGTTCCTGATCTTGTGTTGCCTGGAGGAGCCCCCTCGAGGAGAGAGCGAAGGAGGCCAGCACCTCCAGTCCACCTCCTTCCTAGAGGATCTCGGATATCTCTTCACCAAGTGGGTTTCCCTGGGATTTTTTGTGTTTTTTTGAGGGGAAGGATTAATGGGGATTAGGTCATTGGGAGGTGGAAAGATGGACTGGGAACTGGATGGTATTGAATGGCTAAGAGATTGAGTGCATGGTTTATAACAGCAGATAAAGTGGTTGTATTATAATGCTGAATACTGATTTGTTCAGAATATCTCCCAGGAAGTATTGGTGAATTGTTAGTTACCGATGAGCACAAACTGGATTTTAGTGTGATGAATTGCTAATTTGGATAATTAGTAGCTAATTAAAATTTAAATGAAATAGATATATTGGATGTAGAATTCATGGCAAACTAGTTGAAATATCAGAAATGAGAAGCAGCAGATTAGTAATATTGTGCATAGAAAAGAAAAAAATGTACATTAGTCTAGGATGTGGAGACTGATTAAGACAACTTTTGGTCATCCAATTACCTTCAGTAGTTCTGAATATAAGTATTCAGGAACAAAGAAAAAAAAAATCATGCATCTGTAAAAGCATAAAAGACATAGTCCTTCTTTTTCTTATCTCGCAGCAAGAGCTTTATCCTGTCAACCCTGGCCTTCACCTGTGTGACGTTTGTTGCTGGGGCCTTAGCGTGGTGGGGTCCATTCTTCACTGAGCTCGGGGTCAGAATCCAAGATCATCCCAATGCCAAGGAGAATGAGTGAGTTTTCTTCTGTCATTTACTTTTTGTTCTTTTTGTGTTTCTCCGTTAGATTACTATCAAATTGCTTTGATAAAACAGTAATGAGAAGAGTTTTAACTTCTATTTTAGGAATTAAGAATTGACTCTCATAGTCCATGGTGTTTGAATTCAGATTCGTAACCAGTCTCTTCTTTCCAGTGTTGCCTTTGTATTTGGAGCCATTGCCATGACTGCTGGTTTGATTGGTGTCCCGCTCGGCTCCTTCACTGGCCAGAAACTCCGAATCAAGTAAAGATACCTTCCTCTTCTTTTTGGATTTTGTGCATTTATATATATATATATATATATACATATATAATATATATATATATATATATATATATATTATATATACATATATATATATATACATATATATATATATATATTATATATATATATAATATATATATATATATATATATATATATATATATATATACATATATACATATATATACATACATACATACATAGCATACATACATACATACATATGCATGCATACATACATACATACATACATATGCATACATACATACATACATACATACATACATACATATGCATACATACATACATGCATACATATGCATACATACATACATACATACCATACATGCATACATACATGCATACATGCATACATGCATACATACGTATGCATACATACATACATATGCATATGTATGCATACATATATACATACATATACTGAAGCATGGGTTCATATCGGCAAACATGCACATGCGTATGCTTGAATGCATATTGGTGTGTGTGTATATATACACAAATACTATATTCATGTATTTATATGTTTATATACATATTGTACTCATGTCTACATGGATGTACTTGAATACTAGCGGAGGGCAGGAAACAAAATACACAAAAGATTTTGATATTAGATTTATTGATTTTTATTTTTATTTTTTATTTTATTTTATTTTATTTTATTTTTTTTTTTTGCCCTGACATTCTTCTCATACTTCCACAATAAAGTGAATACTCACATACATAGCCCTTTGAATGACAAGATGTATGTCAGTAGCATAATACATCTCAGTTTACTTTCTATCTGTTTGCTTCCAAGGGGCAGAACTTAAGCATTTACAATTAGTGCTTTTCAACTTTTCCATTTAGATTCCCATTCGCTGACCCATTGGTGTGTGGCGTGGGGCTCCTCATCTCAGTCCCGCTCATCATTGGCGCGATGGTCTTGGCTGAATTCAACACAGTTGTCTCCTATGTTGTGGTGTTCTTCGGACAAGTCTTCCTCAACCTCAACTGGGCCGTTGTATCAGACATTGTCCTGGTTAGTATCGTTTGTTTACTAGTCGTAAGATAAAGTATGACTATTGTAGCCCAAGATTTAGTGTGAACATTGCTGATAATTCTGATAATTTTTAATATTGTCCTTTTTTGTTTGAATCCTATTATAAAGAATTTGTGCCAGTATTGATATTATGAGTACTGATGGATGGGTTATGTATACTCCACTCACTGTGTAATAGTTTTATTGCTGACTGTCTATAGTAATAAATTACCAAATAGCTTTGAAGACCAGAAGTACATCAAGTAAATTTTGATTTTAAGGCAATGAAAAAGGAGAGGAATGTTTATGAACATATTACTAAACATGAAAGAAATGGATATTTCCTTTGGTGCCCCCTTCCATTTACCTACTGGAGATCTTGGTTTTGTAATTTGAATTCAGAACAAGACTTTATATCATGTAAGCATGTGAGTAAATTGGTAGAACTTGTCAGCCATGTATAATTTGATTCGCTATTTGTTTTTCCTTTTTCAGTATATTGTGATTCCCACAAGGAGATCCTCGGCAGAAGCATTCCAGATTTTGTTCTCGCATGCGTTAGGAGATGCTGGCAGTCCATATCTCATTGGTGTTGTGAGTATCAGAATATTTCTATGTAGAAAATACTAATGATGAAAAAAAGGGAAAAGAGCAAAAAGTGTAATGGAGCAAAAGAATGGTTTTCAGTAGTAGTAGTAGTAGTATATATATATAATATGGTTTCTTCCCACCTCTTTGTAGGTTGCAGAATCATTGCAGCCATATATTACCCCTCGCAACACTACCACAAATACCACTATGGAGCCTCCATCCACCACAACACTAGATTATTTCAACTCTACAGAGGCCACCATCACCACTACTGCAGCGCCTGAAGTTGATGACTATGTGAAGTTCAAGGTATTTAATGAGAAATTTGTTTAGAATTTGTGCATTTGCTTGTCACAATATAATATTTTGTTTATGCTTTGAAGGGAAATTGTACATTAATTTTTTTTTTTAATTGCATTGGTCATTTTTTGTTTATTACAGGCACTGCAGTACTCTATGTTCCTGTGCGCTGTCATCAACATACTTGGTGCTATCTTCTTCTTCTTGAACTCTTGCTTCATTCGGAAAGATAAGGAGAAGTGTGACCAGATCATTGCAGGTAAGAAAAAATTTGCCCATTTTTCTACTCTCTCCTCTCTTCCCTTCTTTTTTTGCTGTTGCAATGGATTGTAAGAACGGGATTTCTTTTAGTGTTACTGATGCATGATTAGATTCTTTTCCTGAATGCTTTTAGATATCATGATTCCTGCTGACACAGGTAGATTTTGATTCCTGCTGATGTAGAATTTATACAGCATCTGCATGATAAGTTACCAATCAAGGTGATGGTGCTAAACTTCTTCATTTATGAACCTAATTATTATTTGTCTTTAAGTTTGACATGATGCATGTTCTAGATGTTTCTATATATATTTTATATATAGTGAATATAAAATAATGTCTGTGTATGTATGTGTATGAAATGCATGAGATGATCTGAAGAGTGATTTCAGGAATATCTGTAATTGTATTTTTGGTGTATTGAAGGCATGAAATGTGGTTAAGTGTGTGGATATAATTTTTTAATGATCTTAGATCCTTATATGAGAGCTCCGATGAAAGTTTAGAAATACAGGAAACTTGTACATTATGTATACACTTCTAGTTTTCTACCAGGGACCAGGATGAATTCAGATATTTTGAAGAACCAGGATTACAAAGTATAATTTGTGTTTTTGGATGGAAAATCAGTTTTTCTAGGCACATTGGAAAAAAAGTAATAATCTCTTCAAGTCATTCTGGTATAGAAAGTTTGACACTGTTCTTTTTCCTTATTCTTGTTATTTTCTTTCGTACATTCAGAAGCGTAGATGAAGATTCTTTATCTCAGACTGATCCTGTTTTTTTCTCTCTGTATTGGCAGAGTTTAAGTATTATCCCAACTGCCAGGAATTTATTCCTTTACATGGAGGTTGGTTCGGGGTGAATTTCATTGCCCAATTTTGGTTTGGTCCCTACTAATTTTTGTCATCATTTGTTTGTTTAATGTTCATGGTTTTTCCCTTCTCTCTTGCCTGGTCTTCCATCCCTGATCTAATTCTGTTGCATCTGGTGTTAGTTTAAGTGGACAGAATGCAATGTAAAAGTGCAGAAAAAAGTATACATCAGGATTAATAAGTACATAACACGAAACATGTAATTGATACATATCACTTATGTCAGAATCAAAAAATGTGATTCTGATGATGATTTATCTGACATGCATCAATCACATTTCTTGCTTTGTGGTATTATTGATTCTCATTTATTGAATGCTTTTTTTAATGAGGGAGGGGGGCAGTTACTGTTTTTTGTAAACCACTGTATATCTTTTATGTGCAGTTTAAATACTATGTTGTATCCTCTGCATTTTTGGAGGAGTGATAGAAGGGAAAAAGAAAATTTATACTTTATTATGCAAAAGATTGTGCAAAATGGCAAAAGTGTTAGAAATGGAAGTGTGGTGTGCGCGTGTGTGTGTGTGTGTGTGTTTTTTTTTCATCTGTATGTGATGTATCAGATTTTTAATAATTGTACAAGATAAAGAAAAGTGCAATCAGATTGAAAGACAAAGTGGTATAATTATCTGCATGGTTTTGGGTTTCTTGTATATATAACACATCAATGATCTTACTTTAACATCCATCTGAGTTTTTCTACTAATGCTTGTAGCCTACTACAATTTGGTGAAAGTGTCTATATGCTGTCTCTGATTTTTTATACCTGCCCTACATCTGCTTGTGTGTATATATATTAATGCATGTCCAACACTATTGCAAACTACAGGAATTTAACACAAAGGACTTTTACACCCTGCTGTTTTGTGAAGAATCCTTGACCGTGTTTGGTGATTATAAACCTCTTCTGCAAAACTAGTAACACTAACTTCTGCTTTGCTAAAAATGCAACCCTTTAGTTTAGTATTTACCTTAAAACATGTTTTATTTATATACATGTATATACATGTAATTGTTTGTATATATTTATAGATCACTACAATGAAAGAGAGATAATTAGTTATTGGAATAATGCTAATAACAATAACTTTGCATACATGTGTTTCATATATGTATCTTATATTGCTTGGCTCTACATAAAAAATTATTCTTGTACATAATTGTAATAGAATTTTCATTGCTATATATGTATTATCTGAATTATTAGTTAGCGAGAGGAATGTTCCAGTTCTATTAGTATGTAGAGAGAGTTTAAGGTAGGGGAGTTAACAGAGGTCTGGTCTACAGGAGCAGTGGAGGACCGAGAAAGTACAAGTAGTAACCGCAGCCTCTCGACGCCAGAAGACCCAGAGGCTGAACAGACCCAGAATCTCATCACTTGAAGACAATGATTGAATAGCATATAAGAAATTACTGCATCCAGAGGGACCAAAGGCTGCCAGTGTTGGTTGCATGTGCCACCATCTGGATGTCTAGTGTATATCTTAAACCAAGCGACAAGAGCAAAATGACATTTTGACAAAGGGTTCATAAGTGGGAGAAAACCGTTGATTTTGTACATCACAATTCATCCCCTGGAAATGTTGCACAAGAAGCATCCTCGATTCTTAGGCATCTTTTCTTTTCTTTTTTTTCTCAGCTTTCTCTAATAATGAGAAATATCAATATCAGATCTTATCACTGAAAACAGTGTTTAATCTCAGTGGATGCAGTGTTGAATAGAGTTTTGATTGAATAAAGAGGTCGTAATGAGATCTGTGGTAATGGGAATTACGGAAAGGTATACCAAAATGGAATGTCATGATTACCAATCAAATTTTAAGCCACTTATAATTAAAAAGGTGAAAATGACATAAAAATGGTTGAATTTTGTAGTCAGTGTTGTGTGTGTAAATATATAAAGTAACTGTTTGTGCACGTTTTTTCATGTATTACGAGTGTACTGGAGTGTGTAAATGTGTGCATGCAAGTGTATGTGCATACATGAATTATGCATTAATATACAAAAGCTCTAAATTTACATGTAAAAAAAACTGTTAACAACTTTTCTGTATTGACATTGGAATTATGTATGAGATTATATGAGTTTAAATAAGATTACTGTGGGGAAAAAATCAGTCAAAATGCAGATTTAATGTAAAGTAATTTAATTTTTAGGGAAAGAAACTAAATAGTTTATTCTACATATGTAGATTATGCTCTTTCTTCAATTGTTCCTAATTATGTCTTAACCATCTCAAGAGTGAAGTTATAAACAATTTACTTTTATTAGGTAATTGAATATGTACAAAATAAATTCTTTTTTTCTAAAAAGAAAAAAAATATATTATTAGAATTTGAAAATAATTTGTACAAGTCCTTCAAATGATGATGCATAAATATTAATTTGAATCATAGGTTT